CAGATTTCACGATGGTTTCCAATATTGCTATAATAACCGGACAAAGGGCTGGGGAAGCCATTATACAAAAGGTATAGCATATAAGGAGTACAGCCATTCGTATAATTGGCGAGAAAACTAACCAGAAACATCTTAATCATGGTGGGCATTTTCAAGAAAATAAGTGCCAAAGTCATGCTGAAGTACCACCTTTCATTTTGTTTGAAAAGGCGAGTGGAAGGGATTCGTAAGTTGGCCTCACAAGAGGCTAGGCTGTAGGGGAGTTGCCTTGGAGCTGTGACTGTAGATTTGTGCGAATGGGTCCTCGGAGCACCGCCTCACGACCCCGATGAATCCCTGCTGAGCTTTCGTCTGTCACGTGACGGACATCTACGGTGCAGGACACCATGCTTTAAGATAATTCACCAAACGCAAAAACAAGAAAGGTGGCCTGTCTACTTTTTATAGTTTGTCTAGGTCCACTTAGTGAGATATCTCATGATTTGGTTGGAGAGCCTATGCTTTTCATACATGCTGTTAAAAAGTGAAGTGGCTGTGAATGACATGTGAAGTGGCTGCAATTGAAGCGTGAAATGGATGCAGTTGTGACTCAACTGTTGCATCCTCCTCTACAACACTTAACTTTTTTTTGATCCTGCAATGGTGCCGCATGTGATTGCGTTGCATCGCGCGTGTGTTGTGTGCATGTAATGCTCGTGGGATGCGTGGGGCTTGAGAGTGAAAACCAGTTTTCCTGCATAAGTGCCAAAGTGTTTCTTATAACCTATTCGATCCTTACTTGAAATATATAATTCAAGATTATGAATAGGTATATAAGTTAACTAAGTGCACTAGACTAGCATGACGCATTAGCTCGAAAAAGGAGTGCATATGATTCACCTAGTACCAGCAAACAGCATATTTAGAATATCAGACGCAAACCATTTCAGTAGTTGTTTGACCTTGTCTTCATAGCCTGTTCATATCGGCAGGAAGACCTAGAGGAACGCAACTTGTACGGAGTCCATAGTATGCATGATAATCTCCAGAGTCGGTTTGGTACATTCCCAGACGTTTCACCGGCATCGTCAGTGAGTATTGCCATTCTCAGCACCAAGCTACAACTCGTCAAAGAGACTAATGAAGTCAATCCCATGACCAGCTTTCTGTCGAAACGGTTGTGGCATTACTCCTCGTTCTATCCTGGTCCCTCTATCCATTTCCTACCCACGACTCTCGTCCTCGTTCTAGCACAACTTCTGAGGTGTTTATATTCCATAAGAAATGTACCCTATTGGCGAATTTACCGTGGCGTCATCATACCAGATATAGCGGAACACATTGCACTGGGCACGAGATAAATTGGAAGGCAACTCAAAGAAGGGCCTCATAAGGTGAAAGCACAAATAAACTGAAGATCAGGGACATCCCTGCGAAAAAAATAAATGAACAGGAGATTGGAGGAATGCAGAGTTAGTGAAAACTTTGCCCATTGCCTAATCAAACTAAGAAAAAACAAGGAAGCAACAAGATAAGCAAAAAGGAGACACCTGGATCAAGGATCTATCGTAAACCAGAGGAAAAGAGATCGCAAGAAAGAAGAGGGTGAAAAAATTTTGGAAATAAAGCGAAGACGTTCTCAATGAGTGTAGCCAACCCGAATAAACAATTACAATTTTGGGGGCCTGACGTTTCACGTGACTAGGAAGAGGGATTGAGTCACATAATGAGGAAGTGGACACTAAATAAGTAAGCTCTTCACCTTGACGACGTATAATCTGCCTTGGTCGCTATTGGCTCCCGCAACCAGGTAGCTGTTCTGCACAAACTCAATAGGACGAGCAGGCGCAATTGCTGCTATCCGAGGAGGCCAGTTGGGTTGCCCACTGAGCCCACGGCCGGCAGAAGAGACTGAGGCCTCCCCGATTCTTCTCGAAGCAAAATGTCCGGCTAAATCCTCTTCCGTTGCTTCCGCGTGCGGCCACGAGTCACGCCTCACAGGACCAATAGTTCGAGAACGGCGACTGAGACGCTGAATCTGCCGAATACGGTTGATCGGGCGAAAAGGGTTGGATTTAGTCCCGGTTGACGACCATATAGAGTCGTCCAGGTTAGCTGGCAGTATAGATGCACTTGAACTAGACATTAAGTTGGTGAAGGACTCCTTTTTGTTCGCAGGATGCAACTGAGGCAAATGCTGCAGATTGGACGAATACTGCTTCAGCATAGGCGGAGCTAGGGGTTCATTGCCGAAGGAAACTGGGAGGAGATCCGAGGCCAAACGCCAGGAAGGGCCTGACTGGCGATAGCGCAAAGAAACGGCAGGTCGGAGGTCGCGCAGTGGCTGGGGGAGTTCCTGGGGTTCAGGAAAAAGAAGAGCACCGGTAGCGGTATAGTTGATGCGGTCATAGCTATGCCAGACACGCAAGTACACGTAAAAGCAGTGTGGGTCGACGACGCCGTCGCGCACCAGCCGGCCCAAAGCGATCTGAATACAAAAGGGCGAGGAAAAGGAATAATGACAATTTGCAACAAAATTAGTGTATTAAACCACAATCAAAGATATGAGTACCTAGGAGGCAGATACAATAGCAGTTTTAAATTTTAA